ACTGTCCATGGCCCAGGCCCCCTATCTCACATCATTGTCTGTCTCAGTTCCCCTAAGCTAAAGATGTTTAACTTAGTGAAATTTGAAGGTACTGGTGGCTGTACTGCTCCCCAGGAGAGTATTGTCCCCAGCCCAGCGCACAGCCAGTCCTCTTCTTTCTTGCCTTTTCTTGTAAGAAAGGCTCCTGGAGCTGGGGGAAATTGATTGTTAAGTGAAACTCTCTGATAATTGCCTCTGAAATGCCTGCTGTTATCGTGATGGACTTGGCTGGGAACAACCGTACTCAGAATCCCACTGCAGCCCCCTTTAATGCTGACCATGGTGGGGACATCACAGGCCAGGCCAGACACCATCGGTAACTTCACGGCAGCAGCAGCAGCACACCCTGCAGGGTGGTCCCAAGAGGCCAAACCACACACCTGCAATCACACACCTGCCTGGACAGGGCGCAACTCAAGCCCCAGACCTCTGTACAGGTCCAGAGACATGCCAACCTTGATTTAACAAATTCACTATATGCTAGGATCCAAGTTACCCTAAACCTAATAGCAACCAGGTACTTCCCCCTTGAACTCCAAGATCAAGGAGATGGCAGACACACAGAAGGTTCCCTGGGTGTCATAATGGAAACCAGTGCCTGGCAGGAGTCAGGAATTTGTCAAGAGCGAGGGGGTGAATCGAGCTAGAGGAATCTAGTCAGAAGTGCATGGAGGGGCCTGGTAGCAGGAGGCCAAGGACTAAGGCTGGCTCCAAGAGCAGAGCCCAGATTCTGAGAAAGGAGTCAGTCCCAGGGGGACAGTCACTCAGAATCCAGGCTAAGGACAGAATGTCTCTCCCTTATCAGCAGACACCCTGGGGCGAGGACCATACTGTAACTCCAGCTCGACCCTGAGTAGCCTGTAGGTTCTCCCCCTTGTATCTCCACCTGTTTCCTTCCCTACTCATCCTGCCTGCCCCCAGCCCATCACAAGGGCTCTAAAGAGATGGAAGAAAAGTGCCGGGAACATAAATCTTGGGGGAGAGTGAGGACCCCTTGGCCAACCCAAAGCAGGCCTGACTGTTAATGGGCTTTGTAAAGATAAAAACCCAAGGCTCTCAGTACCCAGCCTGGGCCAGGCAGATGGTGTTAAACTTAGAGCCCCCACATAAACCCAAGGACGTGCACTGCCTGGTAGAGGCAAAGGAAAGCCCACCAGCAGGGCAAGGGTGAAAGGAAACTTCCAGAGAAGGTGGGTAACCAGGCAGCAAAGCAGATGAGAGAAGGAGGTCCTCAAGTGGGCAAGAACCTGAAGGAAAACTTCGGCTGACAGCTACCTATGAGAACTGCTAGGCTCGGAGAAAGGGGTGCCAAGAGCCTACCCACGCTCCGTGTGGGTCAGTTACCACCTCCAGTTCACAGAAAGATCTGGAGGGCCAGAGAGGTGAAGCCACTTTTTTTTTTTTAAGACAACTGGAAAAGCATATTTTATTGTGATGTTCTTGTTTGTGCACAAAGTCTCATGATAATATATATATAGTACTCCTACTGTCTTCTCCTCCTGAGCACTGGGATTAGAGGCCATCACCTCACTGAATTTCTTTTTTTTTAATTAATTTATTTATTTATTAAAGATTTCTGTCTCTTCCCCGCCACCGCCTCCCATTTCCCTCCCCCTCCCCCAATCAAGTCCCCCTCCCTCGTCAGTCCAAAGAGCAATCAGGGTTCCCTGCCCTGTGGGAAGTCCAGGTCTAGTAAGGTGAGCATCCAAACTGCCTAGGCTCCCACGAAGCCAGTACGTGCAGTAGGATCAAAAACCCATTGCCATTGTTCTTGAGTTCTCAGTAGTCCTCATTGTCCGCTATGTTCAGCGAGTAGAAAACCATATTGAAGCAGACCAGAGCTTCAGGGGTGGTCCCGTGACCACTCACCCTCCCACTCCCGGGTCTGACGGGACCTTGAACAGCAGTGGCCTGCCCGCCTCACCCGATCCCACCGACTGGCCCTTCCTTCCCACACCACTGGACCTGCCTATTTAGCAGTTCCCACACGTCCAGCGCCTGGGGATGGACTGATTGATCTGTAACACCGAAAAAATAATAATGGCTTGATCGTTACTGAGGATTAAAAGTAATCCTTTTGCTGTGGCTATTGCAACTCCGTTATTCACGAGTCAGCGGGCTGACCCAGGCCTTTGAGCCCATGGGACTCTGAGAGCTTAAGGAGACCAAGGACTGGGGCCCTCCCTCCCGGGTGCTGCCTTACTTTGTCTGCTAGGTTATAGAGCCTGAGATCCTCATATTCTCAGGGCCCATGAATTCCAGGGTCAAAGCTGTGTGCTGAGGAGTGAAGGAGCGTACCACACACACACACACACACACAGGCCAGTAGTTGAAAGTAACAGATTCCCTAGCCATGGTTCAGTTTGATGTCTACAGCCCATCTCCTCTCTCCATCTTCTGTATACTAAGAGGCCTTAATCTGGCTCCTATATTGCCTTACATGACACTTATAAAAGGCAGTGGCCTCTGCAGAGCCCCAAGTAGCCTCAAGTCCCACTTCAAAGTACATCTGGGGTCCCAGGAAAGACAGGCATCCACTAGATAAGAGAAGGGGAGATGCACTGATCGTCCAAGGCCCCTGCTTTGAGGTATGCCTCGGGGCTACTTCCCTGGACTTGCTGGATCTTTTAGCCTAAGTAGCTTTGTACCTGGTGTAGAGTGGTATCCACTTAAAATGGCACACGTACCTCCACAGAAAGGTACTGGATTGTGAAAGTTGAGGTCTCATTCATTCATCCTAGGGGTTTTAGGCCAAGGAAGGATCCAAGATTTTTTTTAAAAAAAGGATGCGTTTTGCAGAGTCTCAAGAAAACTTTTACATGAAAGCATTTGAATGCCTGCTGAGCTTCGGGGCAAGTGACAGTCACATGATCAGATCTGCACTCTGAGATAAGGCTCCAGGTCTTGAGTGTGGCATGGATGCAGAAAGATGTGATTTGGAGGGCAGGACCACCTGAGAAGGACAGTGACTGGCAGGCAGGGAGTTAGTGATGACAGGTTGGAAAGAAGGAGACAGGTCTCAAGAGAAGAGAGTTAGCCTGGGAGTGGTGGCGCACTCCTTTAATCCCAGCACTCGAGAGGCAGAGGCAAATGGATCTCTGAGTTCAAGCCCAGCCTGATCTACAGAGTGAAGTCCAGGACAGCCAAGGCAACACAGAGAAACCCTATCTCAGAAAACATCAAATGAGGTGGGGGGGGGGGGGGAGGAAGGAGGAAGGAAGAAGATGGTTTATACCAGGACTGAGATGACTTGCCACACAAGCTTAAGGAACAGAATTCAGATCCCCAGAATCCACATAAAAAGTGGGTGGGTGTGGCAGCCTGCCTATAATCCCAGTACTCAGAAGGTGAAGACAGGATCCCTGGACAAGCTAACAAGGCTGGTCAAATCAGCAAACCCTGTATTCAGCAAGAAGCCCTACCACATTAAATAAAGAAGACATTTGACACTCTCTGACCTTGACATGCACACCCACAAACACACATGTGTACACACCCATACCCCACATATATGTGTGTGTGTGTGTGTGTGTGTACACCCACATACAATGACAAGCGTTAGTTCTCATCACTTCAACTCAAGTAGGTTGACGATTGCCCCCAGGAGTGTCCAGGAGCTCCAAGGCCTTGGATAGGCTTTATTAGACCCTCTTCTCTGGGGCCTACATGCCTGATGGATGGGGATGCAGTGTCCTGAATACCAAGAGACTGGGGTCTTCTAATTCAAGTTGGAAACCTAGAGTCAGGATATGGGACGGGTGGGGCCAAAATGAGGAACACTAGGTATAGGGGCCCTGTGGGAGAGTGGTCTTTGGACCTCGTGGACTAAGCAAGGTAGATGTAATAGTAGGGGATGGGCTAGGACTCCAAATTGACCCAGACTCACTATGCATCACTATGTTCCAAGCCTTGGACATCCTCATCTGAGAATTCACAATGTTACCACACATAGTGGACAGTAATGGGTGTACATATGGCACTGGTCAGGGTAGGGCTTGGCATCGGTGTCCTCCCCACAAACTGACACCAGTTACTAGTGGTGGTTATCACCAGATTCGTTTTTCAAGAAAGTCTAGAGGACCATACTCAGTTTTATCCTTGGAGCCTTGGCCCTTCCTGAAGGACAGAATCCGTGGGAGTCCTAGGTTCAAGCCCAGAGGGTGGCCATGTGCCAGTGCCATCACCATAAACCTCTGGGATGTGTCCAGTATCGGTATTACTGAGCCTCATCCCCCTCGGCTCTAACCAGCTCCCTGGTGACTATACCTGGTTATGCTCTAGTTTACTGTTCCCCACCGTGAGGAGCAGGGCTGGCTGATTCTGCTACGTCTCCCCATCTCAGTAGTCTAGCACTAAGCCTGCTTCGTGACAAGCACGATATGGACAGGTACAGGGGCGCTCTGCCCTCAGGACTGGGCTCCATTGTCAACGGCCACTGAAGCTAGCCTTCAAGGCTGGGAAAGGCTCGTGTGGGAGGAGGCCTGGGAGCCCTGCGGGGGCCTCAGGAAGCCTGGGAGAGGACAGCGAGTCTGAGTGAGTGGAAATGGACTGTAGATATGTCCTGCTGAGCCTGGCCAAGGCAAAGTTACATGATGAGACACGCAACAATGTGTGGGGTTTCACACCCTAGCTTATAGAGGGTAGAGGGTAGGTACCACCACTGGAGCTTGGCCGGGAGATGCCTGTGCTATCGTCCAAGCGGAAAACACTGCGGGGCCGGAGACCTGTGGAAAAGCCACTTAGACTGCCTGTGCTGGCAGGCGTCCTGTCTCCCGCATGATCCAGTGTGCTTGGTAAGGTGTCCTTTCCTACAAGCTGGGCACTATCTGGGCTAATGGCAGAGGAAGGTCCTGAGTCATCACGGTCCTCGGGAGTACTGGACATGGAGAGGGCTTTGGGCTGACATGGAGCAGGCATCCTGCCTCAGCCTCTGACTCCCATGTATGTTCTCTGTCCCTCAGAGACTGGCCGACGCGGCAGAGAATTTCCAGAAAGCTCACCGCTGGCAGGACAATATCAAGGTAAGAACTACAGCATATGTTGGACCAGAAAGAGGGCTCAGCGGTTAAAGGTGCTTACCTCTGGCCTGGCAACGTCAATCCCAGGGCCCTCTTATTGGAAGGAGAGAACCCACTCCCATGTGTGGGCCCTCTGACCTCCATACATACACTATGGCGTGTGTGCATGCAGACTCACACAATAAACAAAAAATAAATGTAATTTTAAAAATTCATACCACCCTCCAGCGTTCAGGGTATGACACCTTGAACTTGGGTGACATGCAGAGGAGGAGTGTGTGCTGCACAGACCCTCTGGAGGGGCACTGTTGGAGCACAAAATCCTTTGTCCAACCCTCAGCAAAAAAAAAAAAAACCAAAAAAAAAAACAAAAAAAAAAAAACAGCTTTCCTCAGTGTTGGGGAATGCAATGTAGATATAAGCCCTCTGTCACTCACTCCAGAGGAATCTTGGGGTGACCCATAAGCAGACAGCTTTGTTAAAATGGCCCTCCCAAAAGAAGATACCATGAGTCTTAGAGAGTTCCAGGGTCTTAGGTGCCTCTTGACCCCAGGACTCATCTGAGAATTTAATGTCATGACCGTGAAGAGGCCCTGAGAAAGGACATTGTCTGTCCTCCTAGGAGATCCCCAGGCTGGGTCCCAGGGACTGGCCTGCCAAAGTCACAGAAGTCTTTCCTTCCACCATGCAAACACAGACGGTTCAAACACCTTGGGCACAGGGTGTAAAGAGCCCCAAGGGCCAGAGGGGACAGAGCAGCCACACCAGCCTATTCCTGGCTGGAGCTGTACACTCCTGACCCGTCTTGTTGGGCTAGTGTCTGACTAAGGCAAGGCTCAGGGAAGCCTTTGAACCAGGGGCCATGGCACCCTCAGTAACCAGACCAGGAAACAGGGCTCCATGGGTCTGGGCCATGGTTCCTAGTAGTCTCCTTGCTGAACATAGAGAGGCACCAAGAGCTAGCCCCAGGATCCTGGGACTACTATATAGGATGAGGGTGGGACATATATTGCCTCCTTCCAGCTCTGAGCCAATCTGATCTAGACCCCTGTGCCCCAGACATCAGGTAGCGTTGTGACCCGTACTCGCTGGTGTCGTTTGTTGGTAGTAGAGATTTATAGCTGCTGTCAGTTCCCAAGCATTCAGATCTGTGGCCCGGATCTCAAAACAGGCTCCTCACATTCTCCTCAGACTGCCCTCCCCTGTCTTGCCTTGCCCTCGTGGGAGCTTCTTCCACAACTTGGTGGATGTCAGGTACAAGGAGTTCACATGTTACCTGGAGTTGGGGGCAACAGCTGATTTCTTTCTTTCTTATCTCATATTCTCTCTTTCACGGGAACCAGGATCTTGAGCATGCTGGACAAACACTCTACCATGAACTATACATAGCCTAAGATGATACTTTCAATGACTGCATAAGTTAGTGACTCACCCCTAAACTAACTGGGCTCCCTGGAACCCAGGAGAAACCCTTCTCTTACCTGACTCCATCACAGCCCCGTCTCCTCTCAGCCAGGCATCACTATGCATGTCTGTCGTCACAGCACTCAGGAAATGGAAGCAAGAAAATAAGGAGCCTGCTTCAGCTACATAGCAAGTTCAAGGCTAGCCTGAGCTACGAGACCCTTATCTCAAAGATGGGAATGGTGGGTAGAGAGATGTCTCATTGGGTAAAGGCGCTTGCCGTGCAAACCTGGCAGCCTCGGTTTGATACCAAGAACCCACATTAAAGTAGAAAGAAAAGCTGACTCTACAAAGTTGTCCTCTGACCCCTCCACCCGCATCATAGCATGTGAATGCTACACACGCACACACACACACACACACACACACACGTGCACACACACATATGTGTTTCTCTCTCTCCACTTCTAGGAGATTTAGTGCTCTCTTCCAGCCTCTATGGGCATCAGACATGCATATGGTACACAGACATACATGTAACCAAAGCACTCATACATATGAAATTAAAAAGTAAAAAGAGAGGAAGATAGATAGACAGACAGACAGTGCCTCTTATCTGATATTCAGACCATGCTGCTACATCCAGATAACCCCTGCTTCACAGTTCCACCTGCCCCGCCCAGCCCTGAGCCTGCACTCGGACCAGCTATCTGGCTCCTCCTGCATCCTTCCATAGCTTTGTTTCTTGGCCCTTCCTTTCTACCATTCGTTCTACCATACTGAATACCTCTGGAGGCCCCTTCCGGTTCCTGGGTCTTTGTTTCTGCTGGTCTCCGCCTTGAATCCCCTTCATTCTCCCTAGGATGCCCATTCTAAGCTATTATCTCTCCTAAGACCATTATTTCCTCTGCCTTCTGAGTATCCAAGACCGCCCCCCCACTTCTCCTCTTCCTCATTTTTTTTCTACCATCAGCTTCTTTTCTCCCGTGAGTACTTATGCTGAGCAGGGCAGGAGTCAAGAAATAAAGGCTCAAGAAGCCTGTCCTCCTCTTGGTTTTCTTTCCTTCCCAGTTCAAGCCCCAGAGAGGGAGACAAAGAGGCTTCCACAGCTTCAGACCTGTTCTTCTTCCAGGTTCTTCAAAACAAACAAACCATGTGTTTTCCAGTGCTGTCCTGCCAGGTCCCTTATCCGTGGATTTCAGTAGATAAGTGGATAAGCAATTCCACTTATTCTGGACCAGGATGGGCACTGAGAATGCCTGAGAGAATGTGGGAGCTCAGGGGTACCCAAGAGCACTGAGAGATGCTGCTCAAAACCCCTCCTAACAAAGTGGTGGTGGTGCAAGCCTTTAATCGCAGTGCTTGGGAGGCAGAGGCAAGCAGATCTCTGTGTTCAAGGCCAACCTGGTCTGCAGAGCAAGTTCCAGGACCGCTAGGAATACGCAGAGAAACCCCATCTTGAAAAACAAAAACATGAACAAACAAAAAAAGCATTCCTATATCACTGCATCAGTTTCTGTGAGACACAAGCAGGGGCTTCATTTTCCCCATTGGCTAGCTGTTGTTGGTGTTGTCTGTCAGCTCAGCATGGCCTCCAAGGAGTGAAGATGTTCACCAAGCTGCATGGATACCAATGATATATGGAACATCTTTTTCGCTTGCAACTGCCCTGGGCTGAAGCAGAAGTGGGCTCTGACTAACCACCCTCCTGCTTGATCTGAGCTGCTACAGATGTGGTTGTGGCCACAGACAGCACTGGCCACAGCCTTGTTTGCCCAATGCCCTCTTCCCTGTGACTCCCAGCCCATCAGTGCACCTGCCTGAGATCCTCAGGTGCAAGGGCTATAGTGACCTGTTTCCAGGCTGCAAGGTCACTGCTGTTCCTATGAAGATCTGCTGCTGCCGCCGCCGCTGCCACTACAATTGCTGTCTGAGAGGCATTAGTTCTAATGGTGGCCCATTAGCCCACCTGCCAGCCAGCACTGCTAGAGAAAGCTGGCAGGGACTGTTCATGACAGGGCTTACAGCGACTGTGGCTGGGGAAAGGGTGTAGTTTGTCCCTTGAAAGCACAAAATCCACTCTGAAACCCAGTGACCTTGAGAAGGTGACCGACAGGGAGTAGAGTAATATTCCTCCTCCATGCTCAGGAGAGATAACCGACCCATGTCACAATCCCAGCCTCAAGCTCAGGTCCCTTCCCAGGCTCAGCCTTCTTGCAGGAACTTTCTTGTCCCCTAATTCATAGGGAAAAGCCCAGGATTCCTCTTTCAAGCCCCCAAGCAGTGCTCGCAGCACCTCTATATCACAGACAGTACCCAGGCAAGTGTCCCATCTGTCTGCCTCACTCGTGACTCCTTCAGATCAGGGATAGACAGACAGACCTGTGTCAGTGCCAACTCTCACCTGTCCTCCTGCCTAGCCCAATGCTCTGGTGGCAAACTAACCAGGAATGGTCTTTTTACTTCTGAATGGGGAACATGGTGGCATCCAGAAGTTGTAGGCACAGGACAAATACTGGACTCACGGAGCTAGACTAAAATTCACTGTACAATTAGTAGGGTGTGGACCTCCCAGTGTGGACAGTACAGAGCAGGGAACAGGCAGCTGTGGTAATGCTTATGTATATGCACACACGCCTACCCTATGACGCTAGCCAGGAACAGAGCTGAGATACACTCAAGGGACCAATGAATGGGGGATAAAATAAAACACATTTGATCCTGGCAGGGTCAAAGAACCGGTAACCACAGCCCAGACTTGGGACTACTAGAAAGACCGTGGCCCTGGCTTGCAGGCAGCATGTGACTCCGCACAGACAGGCAGCAGGTGGTCTGGTACCCATAACACTTAACGGTAGATGAAGATGGGCCACCTGCTAGACTGTGCCTGGTGCCAGCATCATACTGTGCCAACATTGTTTGCCACCTAAGCCACCACCAGGGAGAATTTAGGCCAGGGCATGGGTCAAGGAGGGGTGAGAGAGGACAGGCCATTGGCCTCAACCTACAATAGAAGATAAATCATTCCCTGGGAGTCTGGTGGAGGCAATGGCCCTGCCTGTCTGATGGGGGAGGTAACTCTACCTAGAGAATCTAAAGAGAGACCTGTGAAGTCAGGACTAAGGCCTGAAGAGCCAGCTGGATAAGACAGGTGCCCCCCCCCCCCCCCCGCCCGGCCTAAGGGTCCAACCCAGCCATAGTGCTCACCACCTGTCTCTACTAAGCCAGCAACAGACGGCTCTCAAAAAATAAGTCCTTTTTGGTCTAGCTGAGCTGGCAGTAGGTCATGGAAAGAAGACCACATGACATCACTGGCAAGGCTGGGTGACTGCCTGGGCTCTGCACAGGGGACTGGTGGGCAGGTGACAGTCATGTCTGGGCAGCCTTGGCAGCAGCCCTACAAAACACCAACTCTGCAAGACAGCCCTCTATCCCTCTCATCCCAGACCGTCTTCTTCACGCTGCCCCACAGCTGCCAACACCCTGTGTCCTCTCAGGCTTGGCTCCCACTAAGAAGCAAACGTGTCATGCACACAGGCACACTGAGTCCCGCCCCTCACCACCACCTTCATATACAGATTCCTGATGGGGATCATGTGTGTGAGTTGGGGAGTTGATTTCTCCACCCTTTGCCAAGCTTGAGCGAAACACCCTCCAAAAGGAGGGAACAGAGGAAAGTTGTTGGGACATACACTCAATCCTGATGATACCTGTTTCACATCTTCCAAGGGTCCTTCTCCACACTCAGCCCCTCATGTGGGCTGTGGGTTGGTTGGCCTCCTGGAGAGGCCTCTGATATTCTGTCCTCTTCCAGATTCTGGATTTTATGGTGGGTGATGGACACCCAGATGCCAAGCTCAGTGAGGCTGCATGATCTTATCAGGCATTATTAACAACATGGGGGTGGATCCTGAAAATCGTTATGGGCCTCCTAGAGAAAATCTCTCCAGCTGTTGCCTTTGTTTTTGTTTTTGTTTTGAGACAAGATTTCACTATCCTCCAGCTGTCCTAGAACTCACTATGTAGACCAGGATAGCCTCAAACTCACAGAGTTCCTTGGGCCTCTGCCTCCCAAGTGCTGAGATTAAAGGCATGCCCCAGCACACCAGCCTACTCAGCCTGTGTTTCCTCACTGATGGTCAGAGTTTGACCCACAGACCGTTCTCCCAGGCCCCTGCACTCACGTACTAATCTGCCTCCTTGCTGTGTAACCCAGGACATGAGTCTCCAAAGCCAGCATTCTGATGCTGCTCTGGTAAGGCAGACGCAAGCTTCCCAAGGACCTGCTCCCGCACACTGCGAAGGCTCGTCCTGCCGCACCAGCTCCGTATTGCACCACAAATAGCAGTCACAGCTTTGTTTACCATGTATCGCACATCTGACCTTGCCAAGGCTACCAGCCAAGGCGAGGGGCAGGAAGACTACGGTAACCTGGGCCCCCACTTGTAGTCTACAGGAACCTGACAATCCTGGATGCCATTTTCCCTTTATCTCGGGTGCTACCAGCATTCTGTCTTCCCCTGAGACTGTGAAACAGCAGGACAAATAAACAGAACCGTGGAAATTGCTGAAGAGACCCAAGTGAGTGCCAGGGCATCTCAAGGATGACTGGGGCAAAGACAGACCCCCTTCCACAGCCTGGCAACGGCTGGCCCCCACCCACACCCTTTCCTATCCTTGCAGGAGGTTTGCCTAAAAAGTTGGCAAGTGAAGCCCCAGGTTGTAATCTGCAGTCCTCCCACTGCGCCCGCCTGTTTTCATTACGGAGGGAAAGAGCATCAGAACCGTGTTTATAACCCCCTTTTAGATAACAAATCACATTTTCTTTTCGCCTGCGAGTGTGTTGAATTGATATTTTTTTTCCCCTCAGTTTAATGGGTTTGTGTGTTCAGGAATGATCTTCATCAACCGAAACTCCTTATTGTGTTTGATGTAATGTCAGCTTTCATTACGTGCTTCTGTGTGAGCCCCTTGGAGCCTGCACCCTGCCCCAGCCCCCACCCAGGCCTGGCTTCCAGGATGGGTGGGTGGGTGGCAAGTTTGGATGAGGCTGGAGATGAGTCGGGAGGCCTGGGTATAAGGCCCTCTTTGTCCCTGCCCTGATGTGTCGGTCACCAGAAGCGCCACACATAGTAGACACCTCTTGAGTTACCTTTGGCCCAATATTCATGTTCAGGCATTGTGCCAGGCATTCAGTCACAGATCCAGAATACTTGACCTAAGTCACTATGTCCGGCCAATAACATGTACATAACCCCAAAACCCCTAAAGAAGACAGCCTGAGACAGTTGCCTTAAACACTTTCAAATACCAACCATCTATAACCATTAGCCACAGACAGGCATCTGGCCAAACCCACCCCTGGAGGCATAAGGAGACTCAGAGAAAGGATGATTCAACCCTCGGGTCACACAGTCTGCCCTCGCCTTGGTTGGGCAGGGTAGCCTATGCGTCTTCCATCCCTCTTGGAGCGAGAGCTGGCTCTGTGCATGCTGCTTCGCAGGCAGGTCCTTGGGAACAGCCCCAGATGCGTAAGGAACCCCCGGGACGACACTAAAGGATTTTGTTGTATAAAATCCGCTGAGGCACCTGGGGAGAGCGACTTGGACAATGGCCCTGGCCCTAGAGCCTACCAGGGCAAAGTAGGATGGCCCCTTCTGTGCAAGTGGCACTTGCTGACACTAGGCTCACCTTCTGGCGGCCTCTGTCAGCTGCACTCGGTTCTGATTAAAGATCATTAAACATGAAATTAGCCCGTTTGTGTTACGGGTCCCCAGGGCGGCGGATGATTATGACATGCAGATGGCCGAGAACCCAGGCGGCAGACAGGCAGGCACGGGCCAGGATGGGCAGGCAGGCACATGTGAGTGAGGGCCACGGGCAGGCATACGGGCCCAGCTTTGTTTATTCCTGCTCCTGTTGTGTAAACCCCTCTGCATTTCACAACAAATCACAGATAATTAATAAGTACATGCTCGTAATGAGCAGCCTTTTTAATAGAAGAAATTGGAAGATGCAGTGTGAAGTCATTTTTTCACTGTTGCCCAGGCTCAGCTCGGAGTCTCTTGTCTTCCTCACTCCCTGGTCCAGCCTCAGCCAGTCTCTCAGCAGCCAAGCTGGCTCTGACCCTGCCCTCAACCCGCCTGCAGGGCAAGGTTCTAGCACCCTGTGTGTGGGGAGCCTGGGGTGCAGCAGCTTCTAGAGTGTGAAGGATTAGCCTTGGGGTGGGGGCAGGGCATCAGCAGCACTGACTCATCCCACTTTTCCTGGGGTGGCTTCGGGTGGAGGAGGGGACTGTCTCAGTCCTAGAGAGATCTAGACAACTGGTTTAAGCCTTGTACTAAAGGGTCCAGACTGCGTCTTGGGAGCCCCTGAGCTATGAGTGCTGAGGCTTCTCTCTCATCACCAGGAGGAAGACATCATATACTATGACGCCAAGGCTGATGCTGAACTGGTGAGTGCCCCACCTTCACTGTAGAGAACAGGAAGCTGCCAGAGCCACACCCCCACTGCTGGGTCACCGTTCTGACTCAACCTTTCTGAGTTGTGTTGGGTCAGGTCTCTCACCTTCCATAACTCCCTAGAGGTCCTTGGCACTCCAGGACTGTGACTTCATCGCCGCTATGGGCTAAGCTTCCCTGCACAGTGTGGAACAGGCTGGGTCTCCCTCTCTGGACAGGATGGTAAGGTGCTGGACATCAGGACAGTTCAGTCCCAGCATGAGGGGCTCTCTGAGCACCATGGGAGTACAGGGAGAGGGGAATAGATCAAAAGGCCTTCCTGGAATGAGACATAGTGACATCTAAGCCCCTCCCCAGGACAGTGGAGGCTCCCTTCCCTGGGATTCAGACCATCAGGCCCTTGAGAGCCCTATGGCCTGGCCTCCCCTGGCTTCTCCCTGTGTCACTGGGTGGCCTCAGACACGGAGGCAGCTGAGCTCCTACGTATGTTTTCAGACGAGGCCACTATGATAATCTCCCAGAAGTGGCGACACTGGGCCTGCGCCATCTTGTTCCCTGAACTTAGGTCTGCTTGGGCTGGCTTATAAGGTAGTGAGGTCCCCATCATTAAAGGCCTCCGTGAGGATGATGGTGGGGTGAGAAAAATGAGTGCCTGTGGGTTCAAGCGCTCGGGAGTAGACAGTGTTCAGTGAACTCATCAATGTCTCCCTCCAAAACGCAGTGGTTTAAGCCAACTGTGAAGAGAGGTGGGACAGTGGAATAGAGTCTAGTACTGACTTGTGCTTGCTAATACAGAAAACCCAAGCAAGGTCCAGCATTCCCTTTTTGGACCTGTCGGCCCAGAGACTTCCCCGGCCTGAGCAGAAGTAGCCCATGACACCAGGAGGTGGGAGGGTTGGGAAGGATACCTGCATGGGAGGCCATAGTGCCAGGTTGGCCTGGGAAACCTTCAGGAGGGCAGGGGGCCCGAGAAGGAGGAGTGGGCTCAAGCAGGTGCGCTTCCCCTTGGCTGAGCTCCGTGGCTCCCGGAGAAGTTGCTAAAATTAAAGCTGGAATCTGAAATTCAAATGAAGAGCGAACCTTTAATTAGACCCTGAATCTAATTCCTTACCCCCCTCGGCAGCGGGCTGTAATTTTAGCAATCAGTGCATTAAATATAAAGCAGGAGACTGCGGTTGCCCACTGCACCGAGCTCCTGGGCTTCGGGTGGCAGGGAAAGACTCCCTGGACAGCCTCGTACTGTACGCAAACCCTGACCAGGACACTGTTCCCTGCTCCCAGCAGCCCCCAGCTCTATCCAGAACCCCAACCCTCGCTCCAAATGCCTGACTCTTTCCCCCAGCCCTTTGAGGGGGATTGGAACTACCCAGTCAGGAAGTACTGCTCTAGGCTGGGCTGGACTAGGGGCAGTGAGGCCAGAAGCCCCCAGGCCCGGCCTAAATAACAGCACACACTCACCAAGTCCCCAGCTTTTTGTATTGTGTTGTTCCATTTTGTTTTTTTAATCTTTGCCAGAGGTACAGTTAGAGATCTTTCTAGACCATTTACTTTTAAATTACCAGCCAGAAGGTGGGGGTGAGGAGAGAGAAGGAAGGAAAAAGTTCGCCAGCTGAAGGCTTATCAGAATGGAATCCAAATGTCACATTAGTTGGGAAAGTTGGAAGATTAAATTTTCCAGCGCCCTTCATCTGCCGCTGACATTTGGGGGGCTTTCTTCTCCCACACCTCGGCCTCTAAGTGGCGCGTACGTGGCTTATGCCTCACAGACGGCTGACTGCCTACTCCAGCCTGTATGTTCAGCTGCTGCCGACTCTGGCTTCACCTAGCACATCTCACAGGCTTCCCAGAGTGAGCAGGAGGTGGGTGTACCCAGTGAAGGGCATGAAGGACAGTAGCCTGAATTCTGTTGTCCAGATCCTTCCCTGGAAAGAAGGGAAGGGGATTGTCTCAGAGCACTTCAGAGCCGTGTCCTCGGATACGTCCTGATGAAAGGAAACAGCCTGGGCAGTAATCTAGATCTTGGAACACAGAAAGAGGGTGTGCCTGGGCCACAGGGAGCAGCTCAGGACCCATTGAGGAGAGAGGATGAATGGTGCCTGAGCTGAGCATAGTCAAAGGGTCTTGGGTGGGGGGACAAGGTGAGGAAGTGTATGGAGCATTCCGTGTCTCCCTTGCCTCCCTGTCTGGCTTTTTCTTCCCACCCTATGCTCTCTCCACCATCTTCCTTCCATGCTTGCACACCTGCACCGAAGCCTGCTCCCCCATGGTTTGCAGCATTGACTCTGTAACCGCAGCCCTACTCCTGACAGCCTGTGGTAGTAGGCGGTGGGGGGGGGGGGGGGTTGCACAGCGCATGCCCAGCCTGCCTGGCCGAGAGATACCGTAATTGGCACCTGTCAGGCGGCTGTAGCTCGTTTTAGAAAATCAACGGGGGCCTTTACAATCCTGCTGCTAGCAGCCATGGTGGACCCACCCTCTGTAGGTCACCTGGTCTCTGTGCTAACCAACACTCGGCTCTAGAGCTACCCTACTACAGGGGATGGTGCCCCACATGGGGCTAGGTTGGTCTATCTATCTATCTGTCTGTCTATCTATCTATCTATCTATCTTCTATCTATCTATCTCTTCATGCAAGGACTGGGTGGGACTCAGTGGGGGGTATGGAGATGCAGAGCTGCTGAGGCCCCACTGTAATTGCACAAGGCGTGTCCTTGGAAGTAGAAGTCTGCACCCCACTCCTAACTGGCTCCCCCATTTGCCTCCTTCACTGACAGTTGCTTTTCAAGGATGTGGAGAAGGGGTCATTTGGCCTTGGTTTTAGCCGGGGTTTGGCAAATGGATGGTAGATGCGGTGGGCAAGGGCAGGTTAATCCACAAGCCTTCTGGGTGAGGGGTTCATATGCTATGCCCGTGTTTTCCCATTGTCTCTCCATCCTGTCTCTTGTCTCTGCAATACCTCTGACCCTAAGATGACCCTGTCTCCTGGACTCTGGCCCTCCCCAGCTCACCAGTAAACCTAACAGACCTACTCAACCATTTTCCAAACCTGACACGGGCGGGGGTGCTTTCTGCAGGATGACCCTGAGGGTGAAGATGTGGAGAGGGGATCCAAGACCAGCACACTAAGGCTGGACTTCATGGAAGACCCAAACTTCAAGAACAAAGTCAACTATTCATACACGGCTGTGCAGATCCCCACGGACATCTACAAAGGCTGTAAGTGTGAGGGGGGTGGGAACAGCCCTTCCCCCGACCTGGGGGCCAGCCCACTTCCCAAGCATTTCCTGAGATGGGAGCCAATGCCACCCACCTCCAGCCAGCCCCCTGCACACAAGGTCATACGTGTTCATTTCTCTGGCTTACCCACATATAAGCTTCCAGCCACTCTCAGCAGAGCTTAAACAGCCTCTTTCCTTTGCTGGCGTGGGCTCAAGCCCGTGTGTACACAGTTCGCATACACACGTGCACATACGCCTTGCTTCTCACTGCTGGGCTGAACTTTCAAAGCCGTTCCTTGCCACCCTTGCCCTTCTCTGACTCGATTAGGAGGAGCTGGGAAGCCCCAGCATAAGACGGACCCAGAAATTAAGGACAGCGAGCCGCCTGCCGTAAACAGCAGCCCAGACCTGATTAGCCCACTCTGCTCTGTGGCACAGAGCTGGAGGAGTGGGAAATGGTTCTAGCCTGGAGCAGCCGAAGGTGTGGTGAAGCGGGACCAGGAAAATGTAGTTGAGATTCCAAGTCCCAGGGACAGGGCAGCCTTGCACGGTTGGGAAATGAGGTCGCTGCAGCGTCAGTCTCTCGCCGAAGCTCCTCATCTAGTGTTCAGCTTTTGGCATCTTCTCTCTACAGCACTCAGATTCTCAGAATGTCCTCTAGAAGGTGACTGAGGGCCCTGGTTCTAACACAACTATTTGAGCGCCTACCTATAGGACAGCCTCAGAATCTGCTGGGCTAGGAGACTGGGAGGCTGGGGGCTGGGGGGCTGAGGGCAAAGGTAGGTTCAGAAAGCAGGGACTCCTAGGGTATCCCAGGAAGCCCCTGCTACCAACAACGTCAGCCAAGTCTTCTGGATGACCTCAGGTTGGGTGTGGGGGGAAATGCTTCCCTACCTGCACGCTGCCCGGAGACCACCTGCTTGAGCCAGTCGAGGGGCACTATCACAAGCAGGCACGCTAATTAAAACAGGAGCCACACCTCCCTCCCCAGTCACCCCTCGCTACCCACACAAATTACATTTTATATGTTTTTTATTTACTGTGTCACTTTTAATTAAATCTGTAATCGCCTGCCTGAGGGGGCATGGTCCCCATTTCCCAACTCAGTGTGATCTGAGAGTGTGTGTACACGGGTGTGATATAGGACTGTGTGCATGTGGGGGTATCTGCATCAGTGTGTCCTGCAGGACAGCCCACCTGGAGCGGGGGTCACCCCTCTGCTGGCAGCCTGAGGGACTTCCAAGTTTCTCAGGCAGAAAGACTAAAGGCCCAGTGATAGGCAGGCATCCTGGCAGGCTCACAAGACAAATGGCATTATGTGAAACATTTGGGGGTCTCACTTCATTTTTCCTTAAAAAGAAAAATAGAAAGTGTTCAACTCACTAGGTTTTTAAATCAGAAACAGGACCATAACATAGTGTTTAATAGGCAGAGCCAATGATAGAAATAGGTTTTGTGTTCATATTGTGGTCAGTTAAGGGGAACCACAAAGCCAAGAAGGAGCTAGATGGCAGAGGGACACAGCACACAAAGGAGGGACGGAGGGGTGGGTGAGGGTGTGTCAGGCCCCTGGCAGGGCCACCGGCAGAGCCTTTGGAGGCTGTCAAGCTCAGCTTATCTGTTCTGAGGGAATCAAAACCTTGAGGGCGCCTTCTCTGGCTGTCACTTGAGATCTCTGATGGGGATCATGGAGGGTTGAGTGCCAGGGCTCCCCATGGGAAGACAGAAGGAAACTAGGAAGACATACAGAAGTCAGAGGCCTAGCAGAAGCAGGTGTCCCATTCCTGGTTTGTTTCTGTTCAGGGACTGGTACAGTTTACACATAAAAACATATGCCCACACACACATCAGGTAGACTTAAGGACACCCTGAGTTCTAGAACAGGAATGCCACCCAGGTTGGTCAGCAGGATAGAGAGCAGCCTTACTTTGTGAGGGTGTGCAGGGGTGAGTCTGGCAGGAGGGAGGGGGTCACTCATGTGTAACGCCAGGGGTTAGAGAATGGAAGGTATGGGTAATTGGTGGTAGCATGTAAGACCTCCTGTGTGCCCCTTACCCATGGCAGCAATCGTGTTGCTTGGAAGAAAGGGGATAGGGTTTCTACATTTGGCTGGAAACGCAGAGATTAGAGCCAGGAATAGCTGCCGAGGTTGCAGGCTGCGTGGACATGTGCATGTGTGTGCAAGCACGCGTGCCTGTGGTGGAGTAGGATCCTGGCCCCACCCCTGCCCCTCCACAGCCCCCACCTCTGCCCCTGCTTGCTCCTGGCCCCAGTTGATTAATCATGAAGCTGAGTGGCTTCCAGCTTATCAGGTACCTTAATAGCTGAATAATTCCAGCCCCATCAGCAGGCCCTTAATTGCTTTCTTGTGGCTGCAGCCTGGAGTGCATGCTGAGTGGGTGAGCTCCCTGGGGACCAGCCTCAGGCTCCAGGCAGCATGCTGGATGGGGGCCCAGCTCACAGTTCCCTGCCACCTAGGCGGCCCTTCTCCATGGGCCACAAGCCACATCAGCCCTGCTTGCTCATTGAGGCCTAGTTGAGGGGTAGGCTGAGAAATTGCTTTGATGATTTGGAGGAGGGAGGGCAAGAAAATCTTCCTGGGGGAGCTGGTATGGTCCCTAGTGAGATCCTGGAAAACCAAAGAAAGTCTGGGCAGGCCACGGGCAGGGGAGGCCATTGAGGGGGGAGGTTTCCACATCAGTGCCGTGGAGGTGGGTTTAGCAGGGGCAGCCTAGAGCTCTCCAGCCCAGCCTTCTGCCCTGCTCCCCAGCTACCGTCATCCTCAATGAGCTTAACTGGACCGAGGCCCTGGAGAATGTCTTCATCGAGAACCGTAGGCAAGACCCTACCCTGCTGTGGCAGGTCTTCGGCAGTGCCACAGGAGTCACCCGCTATTACCCAGGTAGGTGCCAACCTGTCTCCTTGGCCCATCCAGCATCCATCTTGCTCCATCTCTAAGCCCACCCATCCTGAGGTGCACAGAGTAAACCAAGTCATTCTCGTGACTCCGAGCTGCTCTAGTCAGGCCTTTCCACAAGGTTCCTTCACCCTCTCTTTTCCACAGCCACACCATGGCGAGCCCCCAAGAAGATTGACCTGTATGACGTCCGAAGACGACCCTGGTGAGTGAGCAAGGGGGGAGCTGAAGAGAGATACCCCCTCAGCTCCCCATTTCTTGCCTGCTCCCCTCCCTCTCAATATCCAGACCTCCGAGCAGGGCGCAGCCAGCTCTATCCAATTTTCATTTCACACATCGCTGCCACTGGAAAATGGATCCCATCACCCAGGCAGGCCACCCAGCTGCCTCTGCCCCCACACATACCGTCCACTACCCAGTCCCCTCCACCCACTCAGGAATGAGAGATGTTCCCAAGGGTAGATACAGCCTCCGCCAGGCTAGAGAGCACCACCCTACTCCTTTGATTCCCTAGACACCCCGCCCTCTGCTCTCCCCCTCTCTCCCTACGTCATAACCTTCCCCCCCCATTCTGTGGAGCCTCTATCTGGGGCAGAGGACACAGCCACTGAAGCTCTCTGCCCCTCTGTGGATTACCTGCCCCCCACACCTCTTGTTCACTTCATAAGGGACCAAATCACTCATGCCAGGAGCAAGAGCTGTCTTCTTTTATAGAGCATGGTCTCCCCAGTGCCCAGACCCATTTCGACCCATGTAGTACATGGCCAATAGAAATACATGAACCCGTAAATGGATAGAGGGAGGAAGAAGCCACCGGTCCCGAGGTGCTGTCCCTAACTGAGTCTTCTCACCGGCAGGTATATACAGGGGGCCTCGTCCCCCAAGGACATGGTCATCATTGTGGACGTGTAAGTGAGCGTTGTAGGCTGGTGGGGCTGGGGTGGGGCCAGGCTGGATTCTTCTGCCTGGGAACATTATGAGGAGAGGGCGGGAGCAGCCTGAGAGCCCACACACACGTAGCCCCTGCCCTCTTTACAGGAGTGGCAGCGTGAGCGGCCTGACTCTGAAGCTGATGAAGACATCCGTCTGTGAGATGCTGGACACACTCTCCGATGATGACTACGTGAACGTGGCCTCAGTGAGTACCAAGGTGGCAGGCGGGCTGGGAACTACTCACCCACATCCAGCTTGCTCCCATGACAACCATGAGCCTTGTGCGACAGCTGTCCACCATGGCCAGCCTGAAGCTCCTCACCCTCTCACTGTCCCCACAGTTCAACGAGAAGGCGCAGCCTGTGTCTTGCTTCACACACCTGGTGCAGGCCAATGTGCGTAACAAGAAGGTCTTCAAGGAAGCCGTGCAGGGCATGGTGGCCAAGGGCACCACAGGCTACAAGGCCGGCTTTGAGTATGCCTTTGACCAGCTACAGAATGTGAGCCCCATGGGTGGGCAAATGGTGGTCAGGGGTGGGCAAGGGACCAGGCGTAGTGACGTGGGAAGATAAAGGTGGATGGCCTTGTTAACACTAAACAGACAGCTTAGACAGATAGCCCACCTGCTCTGAGGGCAGAGGGGCAGAGGGCCAGAGAGCCAAGCTTACCTACCGGAGGAGGGAGGCTCTTCCCTGGGCCTGTGAGAGACCAAGGACTGCCTGACTCTGTGTTCACCCTTGACTAGTCCAACATCACTCGGGCTAACTGCAATAAGATGATCATGATGTTCACGGATGGGGGCGAAGATCGTGTGCAAGATGTCTTCGAGAAATATAATTGGCCCAACCGGACGGTGAGGCTCAACCCTGATGGGTGGCTGCCCTGAGCTAGGCCCGGGACAGGAGAGGGCTGTCCTCGAGTGGCCACAGGAATAACCTCATTGCTCCGACAGGTGCGCGTGTTCACATTCTCTGTAGGGCAGCATAACTATGACGTCACACCTCTGCAATGGATGGCCTGCACTAACAAAGGTACCTTGCGGGATCTCACTACCAAGGCATCTGCCTGCTATGTCCTGCTGCCAGCTGTCCATCCATATGTCCAGATGTTTGTTCACTCACTGTCTGTCTGTCCTTCCATACAGATGGCTGTCATTGCTTTGTCTGTTTGGCGGGCTGTCTTACTTGTCTATCTGACAAAGCATGTTCCTGCCCATCTGGCTGTATGTCCACTGTCCATCTGTCCAGCTTTTCTGCTCCTACATATGTTTGCTGATCAATCCATCTCTCTGTGCACTTGGGTGAACTCTGAATGTTAACTGATATCCTAGAAGGAAACTCCTTCCTCCACCTCCACTGCTTCCTAAGCCCCCCCCCCCCCCACACACACACACACACAATCTATCCTCTTCTGTAGCCAGTGCGTGGGCAATGCCAGGGAGCACAAAGAAGTTTGAGGGGTGTAACTAAATACACAGAAGGCTGCAGATATGCCCTAGGAGGCAGTGCCCCCTGCGATGTGGGTCTCGCTGTGCCAGCCAAGCCCACCTCTCCTCCCTTTACAGGTTACTATTTTGAGATCCCTTCCATCGGAGCCATCCGCATCAACACACAGGTGAGGTGGCGGGGAGGCCGCCCCTCCCAGTTCTTTGCTTCCCTCTGGTTGCTGCTGAGTGCCTTCCACTGCCATGGGCCGAAAGCGACCCCTGGTGGCTGCTGAGGCACATGGCAGCAGATGAGAGAAAGTGCGTTGGGAAGGACATTTAAGTGCCTTTCTCTCCGTACCCAGGAATACCTAGATGTGTTGGGCAGGCCCATGGTACTGGCAGGCAAGGAAGCCAAGCAGGTGCAATGGACAAACGTGTATGAGGATGCACTGGTAAGGCCTTTGGGCAAAGGAAGGGGCCTGGAGGCCTTCCCTCAGGGATATGCCCACAGGGTCAAGACCCTTGGGGGTCCCCTTATTGGTGTTGACCAAGTAAAGGAAATGACAGGTGGGCTATGCCTGAGCCCCTTCTCTGAACACTCAGAGTGGGGACAGAACTGGCCACAAGAGACCTCATCCTCTTCCTCTCCCCTTAGGGACTGGGGTTGGTGGTAACTGGGACTCTCCCTGTTTTCAACCTGACACAGGATGGCCCTGGGGAAAAGAAGGTGAGGTGCCCGGTGAGGTGCCCAGTGGGCTGTCTGGGGGAGGGACTGGCATGCTTTTAGCAGGTCTGGGGATGGAGGAGGGATAGGACATCCTACAAACTGGCCAAAGCGACTGTCTGTGTCAGCAGCTTAAGGCCTTTAGTATGAGGCCCGGGCCAGGGGTTCCTCCGTGGACTTGACTCCTTACAGTGTACCATCCCACTTCTTTGTGCCCAGAACCAGCTAATCCTGGGTGTGATGGGCATCGATGTGGCCCTGAATGACATCAAGAGGCTGACTCCCAACTACACCGTAAGTATCCACCTGCCCCACTCTCCTTCTTCCAGACTCAGCAGAGGAGATCCAGGGATTGAAGGGTCTTCACAGGGGCCTCTGAATTCAGAGGATCACAAAAGACTTCCCAGGGGGCTGGAGAGATGGCTCAGAGGTGAAGAGCACTGGCTGCTCTTCCAGAGGTCCTGAGTTCAATTCCCAACAACCATAGGGTAGCTCACAACCATCTGTAATGAGATCTGGTGCCCTCTTCTGGTGCGTAGGCATGCATGCCAGGAGACTCTATACATTATAAATAAATAAAATCTTTTAAAAACAAACAAACATAAAACCCAGCTGGGTAGTGGTGGGGCACACCTTTAACCCTAGGACTCAGGAGGCAGAGGCAGACATATCTCTGTAAGTTTGAGGCTAGCCTGCTCTACAGTGTGAGTTCCAGAATAGCCAGAACTATTAAACAGAGAAACCCTATCTTGGGGAAGAAAACAAAAACATAAAACCCATATGAGACTCACATCAAATTATTGTGACAGGTGGCAAGCCAGATTCAGCCCCCAGACGTGTGCTGGGTGGAAAAATGGGGAGAGGAGCAGAGGGAACTCTTCCAGACAGCAGCATGAAAGCAAAAGGCAGAAGCTGGAGCTGGGGAAGGGATGGCATGGCGGTTTGGCTAGAGAACTTAGGTCTCAGCTATGAAAGCAAGGGGAAGAAGGACATGCGTGACAGCTTTCAGTCCGAACCATATGGAACCCTTGCTTGACCTGAGAGATTCCACGTAGAGTAGGAAGACAATCCAAAGCAAGGGCTAGTCCCTGGGTTCCACTCCCTCCTGCTTGCCTTCCACCAGGCCTGCAGGGTTCCCAGGCATCTCTCCCTCCTGTACAACGACACTGAAATGGGGACAGGAAAGCATAATTTGAGAACTCAATAGGTCCAAGAGGGCCATAGTGGTACAAAGGCAGCAGACTTGTGGGCCTCGTGCAGGTGCAGAGGTGAAGGATGTCTGCCTACAGGGCCAGTCACTCTTGGTGGGGGCTGGTGTATGAGGGGCACCCAGCCTGGCTTCAGAGGCAGACTTAGGGCCATATGCCAGGAGGGGGCCTTTGGCCAAAGGCAAGCAGCATGGGAAACAGAATAGAGAGAAGCTCATAGTGTAAGAAATCCCTGTACAGCCTCTGAGCTCCAAATCTGTACCTCACAGCTTGGCGCTAATGGCTATGTGTTTGCTATTGACCTGAACGGCTACGTGTTGCTACATCCCAACCTCAAGCCCCAGGTAAGCCAGGTGAGTGGCCATGGAAGGCAGGTAAACCCTCCAAAATGAGGACTCTTGACTTCCTACCTGGCTTCCTGCAGACTACCAACTTCCGGGAGCCTGTGACCCTGGACTTCCTGGATGCAGAGCTGGAAGATGAAAACAAGGAGGAGGTGAGGTGAAGGCAGGGAGGAGGTGGCTAGCCCAGGAACAGGGGTGAAGGCAGGGAGGAGGTGGCTAGCACAGGAGCAGGGGTGAAGGCAAGGAGGCAGGGAGGAGGTGGCTAGCACAGGAGCAGGGGTGAAGGCAAGGAGAGGTGGCTAGCACAGGAGCAGGGGTGAAGGCAGGGAGGAGACTAGCACAGGAGCAGGGGTGAAGGCAGGGAGGAGGCCAGCACAGGAGCAGGGGTGAAGGCAGGGAGGAGGCTAGCACAGGAGCGGGGGTGAAGGCAAGGAGGCAGGGAGGAGGTGGCTAGCACAGGAGCAGGGGTGGAGGCAGGGAGGAGGCTGGCACAGGCGCAGAGGTGAAGGCAAGGAGAGGTGGCTAGCACAGGAGCAGGGGTGAAGGCAGGGAGGCAGGGAAGAGGTAGCTAGCACAGGAGCAGGGGTGGAGGCAGGGAGGCAGGGAAGAGGAAGCTAGCACAGGAGCAGGGGTGAAGGCAGGGAGGAGGCTAGCACAGGAGCAGGGGTGAAGGCAGGAAGGCAGGGAGGAGGTGGTTAGCACAGAAGCAGGGGTGAAGGCAAGGAGGAGGCTAGCACAGGAGCAGGGGGTTCATACCGTTGGCCCTTGCAGATCCGTCGCAGCATGATTGATGGCAACAAGGGCCACAAGCAGATCAGGACATTGGTCAAGTCCCTGGATGAGGTATGAAGGCACAGGATGGGAAAAAAGGGCATCAGAATGGGCACCCATCCCTACCCACCCACCCTAGCCTGCTCACCCAAGAACCTGACGCAGCCTCCTCTCCCAGAGGTACATAGATGAGGTGATTCGGAACTACACCTGGGTGCCTATAAGGAGCACCAACTACAGGTAAGTGAGCCAGAGCTGGGTAGACAGAGAAGGGTGAGAGTGACCCCTAAATCTGAACCCAGCTGCTTCTCCCTCTTGCACCCCTATCCTTACTATTTATTTAACCTGAGATGTTTGGTCCCCCAGGGCCTCCCCTGGCCCTGTGGAGCAAGCAGCAGGTCCTGGAAGAACGGGATTGAGGACAGGACACTGCCCCTGGCTCCCCCCTTCCTGGAGGATCTCCTGGGTACCACACCCCAGGGATCATCTCAACTCTCCCTGACTGCTCACAGTCAGCATTGCAACCTCAGCCAGTCTTGACCCCGGGGGCTGTCTTCACGCACCCCACTCAACTGCTCCATAGTCCATTCTGAAATGATAGGAGCATTGTCACACCTCAGGACCAGCCCGCACTGCCTCTGGGCTCTCATGGGGTTCATGCCTGCTCCTCAAAAGCTTCCTGTTGGTCAGGACATTGTGGGGCAGGTGGGTGCTGAGGTGGGCAGTAGGGTGGGGAATCACTTTGGGGCTAGTAGTTTCGAGGCCTCCAGGATGGTTTGGGGAGAAAGTTCAGGCCTCCAAGGTGCTAACTCCTTGGATATGGAGTTGTGCAGGGGACTTGTGGCTGCCACAGCTTGGGCCTCTGTGGCTCTAAGGCCCTAGGAAGGAAGTGTTAGTGTAGCTGCCAATCCTCATCAGTAACCTGTGCTCTCCCCTCCCCTCCTCCCCAGCCTGGGGCTGGTGCTCCCACCCTACAGCACCTTCTACCTCCAAGCCAACCTCAGCGACCAGATCCTGCAGGTCAAGTGTAAGTGGCCTGGCCCCTGCCTGCGCCCTGCACCCCTGCCTCTGCCCCTGCACCCTTGGCCGGCCCCAGGCAGCATAGCCAGCCGCGCTTGCCGGCAAGGCAGCCCCTCCTGCCAAGTCTGCCCAGCCTCAGGCGTGCCCACAGGCTGGGGAACCAGCCTTCGAAAGTCTGTGGAAATCTGCATGCTTGCCTTTCTCAGATTTGGTTCTAGACCATTCTCTCATAGTTTCCGTTGAGGATTGTTTTTGGTTTTTCCTAGCCCGTGTCTTCCCTTCTAAGCCTGCCTGCCCTAAACACTCCTGGGGACTACATTACTAGAAAGCACCCCTGCCCCTCCCTTCTCTTCTGACTTCCTTCCCCTGTTCCTCCTGTGGTGCCTCCTTTGTCCCAAGATCTCTTGTCCTCTGTTCCTCCCCCATCCGCTCTTCCCTCTCCTCCTCCAGGTCACCTTCTCCCACCATCTCTCCTCTCATTTCTCTCCCCCCTTCCTCCCCATCCTCTCTTCCTCTCCCTCCTGCTCAGTTCCTCTCACTTTCCCACCATCCCTTCTCCCCACCCCAGAACCCCTGCCCTCCCCCTCTCCCTTTGTCTGTGTTCTTTCCTCTCTCCTCCTTCCCTTCCTCTTTTCTCCCTCACTTCTGGCTTACACCCTTCTCATATCCCCCTCCCTGCTCCCCCTCCCTCTTTCACCCCTACACTCCATCTCTCTCATCCTTTCTCTCTCCTTCCCTCTCCCTCCTCGGCTCTCCCACTCCTCTGCCTGTGGCTCCCCATGCATGCCTGCTCACCATGGGCCTCTCTGGAAAGGCCTGGATCTCAGGCCTGGCCCTGCCTGCCCAATGCCAGAGGTCACTGGGAGGGAGGCTGGGGCTCCGGCCCCACCGGGCGCCCCCGCACCTGCCTGGCCGACTGGGGCTCATCTCCTTTGAGTTTCTCGCTCTCTCTTTCTCTCTCATGTCGTTTTTTGCAAGAAGTTTCCTTTCGGTATGATGATGAGACACAATATTTTCATTCAAACAGTCATTGAATAAAATATTGTTTGTGCCCCTCCCCTTCCCCTCCCCTTTTTCGTTTGTTTTTGTGTTTGTGTTTTTGTTTTCCTCGCTTTCTCTCTTGGTGGACTGTCCCAGTGCCAATCAGCAAACTGAAGGGCAAGTATATTCAGAACCAGTGCACCCTCCTCTCCCCACCCCACCTGCCCTCACGCCCCTGCTTGCCCCCCTTCCTGCCCAGGACCAGCCACACCCCTGCCCTCTGGGGCTCCCTCCCAGCATCCCTTGGCTCCTCGGTTCTTGCTTTTCCTCTGTCCTGACACCCTCTTAGAGCCAGTAGCCCACTTCTGGGGCTGTCTGCGGAGAGTTCTCCAGCGTGTCCTGTGGGCCCAGACCCCTTCCTCCTATTCCCTAGTTTTTGTGGGACCCCATGGGAAGCCCTTTGCCTCTCCAATTTCTCTGCCCCTCTAAGACAACTCAACAGTGGGAACAGAGCTGGATGCTTCTCCACCACCACCTTCCCAGCAGGGCAGGAAGCTTGAGATAACAGTTGATAGGTCAGCCCTCAGCGGGGCTCATGTAAGATGTGGAAGAGGGAAATCCCAGCAGGCACCCTCAATGGCACTTAGGCCTCTGTTCTGCTGTGGCCCCAGAGCTCACATCCCTCCTAGAAGAGGTGGCAAGGCTCAGAAGCCTTAGTGGGGGGTCACACAGGCCACCAGGCCACAGGAGGGCAAGGCTAACCAGTCATCCTGGGTTCCCATTGCTTTGCTAAGGACCCTTGGGCAATGCCTGATCTTAGGTACTCGCTGTTCCTAGGAAGAACCCATAGGTGTGGGAAAGCTATTCCCCTGGGGAAATAAAGGCAGATTCGGAAACCATAGGCTTCATCAGGCATGGATCCCCAGAGCCAACCAGAGGAGACCAGGCTACTGACAAAGGAAAGGATCCCAAGTCAGGTCGCAGAACAGTAGATGGTGAACGCCAGGCCTTGACAGAGGACGACGGGAGTTAGAAAAGGTGACACATGAATATGTCTGCCATTGGTGCACAGAGAGCTGCCTTCCCAGGGAACATTTGACCCTGTGGGGCATGGAGAACCATGTGGGGATGTCCCCAAACTGGAAGCAGAGGACTCCCCAAGAAACCAAGAGGACTTGTCTAGCCTAGTCCAACAAAGGGAATAAGCTGGCCTTGCTGGCCTGGGTCAGAGTGGGTTGCATAGTTCCACTGACTTGAGTTGTCTTTTCTCCCACTCACACCCCACATACTGACCCTAGAACTTCAAGACCCTGGAAACATAACAAGCATAGTATAGTCTCCCTCCTTGTCCCTCATCCCTCCTTTTTCTTTCTCCTCCTCCTCCTCCTTTCCTCACCCCTACTCCCTCCCCTTTGGCTTGTGTCCAAACCCTGCCTCACAGTCCTATCAGAAAGGAACAGTCCAACCAGTGACTGCCCAGCCCCCCAAAGCACCTCAAGTTTCCTCTGTCCAGAACTTTGCAGTGCATCGTGGGAGTATTTGGGAACAGTGAGAATCCCTCTTCTGGGATGACTAAAGCGCCGGGGTGAAAGAGAGTTCGGGATGTGGGTGAGGGTAGGATAGGGAAAGCCAAGTGTGGTGGCCTAGGCCTAAATCCTAGCATTCAAGAGGCTCGGGCAGGAGAATTTCCATGAACTGGAGGCTAGTCAAGACAACAGAGACCATCTTTTTAAAAATCTAGGGAGTTGAACTTCCAGAATTATACTAGCCAAGGGGTCCTCACAGATACACCTAACAGGGCTGGGGATGTAGTTCAGTTGCAACAGCGCTTGTCATTGCCTGGCATTTATCAAAAGTCCTGACTTCAATCCCCACCATCACATAGTCCAGATGTGACGGCTCCTGCCCATATCCCAGCCCTCTGAAGGTGTATGCATGAGAATCAGAAGTCCAAAGTCATTCTCAGCTGTGTAAGCGAGTTCTAAGTCAACCTGGACTACAGGAGACCCTGTCTCAAAAAAGTAAAATAAAATAGGCACACAGCAGAGTAACCCAATCCAGCTGGGCAGAAAGAGGCCACAGTGGAGTCCTACAGTCATATTCTCAGGCCTGTGAATACACACCCTTATAAAGATGAGTGTGCACACACTCATACATTCATGCATATAAAGACAATTGTGCACACACTTATGCATCCATGCCACCTATATGCACAGCTCCTAAGCCTGAGGCACAGGCACAGTTGCTAGACCACCCACCTGGGCACTCCCAGCATTCCCTGCAGGCACTCCCAGCATTCCCTGCAGGCTCCTCCTTCCCCATGTGCCCTGTGCCCCCAGCTGGGAAAGCAGGTGTGCAGAGTCCACCAGCATCCTTGTCTCGCCACACACTGTGGAACAGTCCTTGCCCCCTGGGTTTCCCTTCACCCAGCATCCTGTTCCAGGAAGGACACCCCACCCTCAGACCTCCACGGTGCACTGCCGTAGCCGCCACCACCAGCTGTTCATGCCCGTCTCTGGTTGGACTGTCTGTGCCTGTGAGAAACCCTTTCGGTTTGGCCATGTTGATGCCTGACACAGAACAAAAGCAAGACCTACCAAAATGCAAACAGCTGCAGCAAAGAGAGCTAAAAATCCGCAGCCAAAAGCCAATTCCCTTCCTCAAAGTCTCTTTGGAGGCAAAGGAAGCTCAGCATGCGGTTTTTCCATTATGGATGTGATAAGAACAAGACTGGCGCCTCCCCCAGACCATGCATATATATAGCAGTGTGTGTATATATATGTGTGTGTGTGTGTGTCCGTGTATATGTGCTATACAGCAGTATGGAAGCATATACAGCCACGCCAAGGGACTCACTACCGACAGAGGACCAGGCCCGGGCAACATATTGGCTATAACTGCCCTTCTCCTGCGATGCTGTAGTTTCCACAGGCCCTACACCCTCCTCGCCCTCCCTTCTCTTTGGCTCAAACCTGAACGTGGAAGTGGCGGGTTCCCTCTTTGCTGGTGTCTTCCCCCTCCCTTAAGCCGCCTGTCCCTACCTGCCCCTCCAGCCCCAACAGCTCTGAGCCCCCTGGCCTCCTGCCTTCCCAGCCCCCGCCGGATAACCCCCCGTTTCTGTTGCAGATTTTGAGTTCCTGCTCCCCAGCAGCTTTGAGTCTGAAGGACATGTTTTCATTGCTCCCAGGTAGCTTGCGTGTGGCCTTGCTAAGGCATCCTCCCCTCCCCCTGACTGCCCTACCCTATCTCCTGCACTGCTGCCTGGAGCTCTGTGTGTCTATGTCCTGTGCAGTGATGCTCCTAACCCCGTGCATAGCCCGGTATGTGCGGCCGTGTGCATACCCAGGCCATGTAGCCACACCAGGCAGCAGTAGCCAGTACCCACAGCCTGTGTCCCACCAGGCCTGGGGCAGGAGGGCTTTGGGATTCTCTACAACCTTCTGTGCCCTCCCAGGCAACCAGGAAAGAGCCCTTTCTACCTTGGGCTGGCCTGTCCCCTAATGCGCCCTCGGTGGGCAGCTGCTGCTCTGGTTTGTGGTGTCCTGTCCATACCTCCACCCAACCCCCACCCCTATGGTTGTCCTGTGTCAGTGTTCGTGTGGGTCTGAGGGCTGAGCCACCCAGAGCCCCTGTGGGTAGTGCCAACTGTGCCAGTCCTGAGGAGTGGGAAGGAGGGCAAAGGCTTTGAGGATCTCCTCTGGCGAGTGAGGGCTCTGGGCTCAGAGCGAACCCTGGAGTCACTCAGTGTGAACACACACATGACAGTATACATACAATCTGCCATGGACTACCTCTGAGGAGGCCTTCTGGTGCTGAAGCCCTCTCTTGTGACCTGAGTTTTGAATGAGAGCACTCCCCGGCACCACATGGGGCTTTGGACACCCCTAACCTCTGTGTGTATGCACGTTGTGTGCATGCACCCACAAGTCTCTATAGATGTTTGTACTTGTGAGTCATTGTGTATGTGTGCCAGAGGCCATGGGTAAATGTGGGATGGGCTGTATTTAGTAGTGATTGGGAACGGCCTGTGAGACACATGCAGAAACTGAGGGAAGAGATCTGTGTATCATCTTAATAACTGGCTCAAGAGTGTGAATAAGTGCAAAAATGAGCAAATGAAGTGCCCTACAATGTGACCACGCATATCACGTGTGTGGTATGTCTTGTGCACAGCTGTGTGGGTATCACTGGGTACATCCATAAGGAGGGTACACGTCACATAGGCACTGAGGAACTGTGAAGCAGTGGGGGGCTGAGATCCAGTCCCAGGTGCCCACACTCATGGGTCCTGGCACAGCATGGGGAAGTAGCACATTTTTTTAATTACCCACAGAGTTGCTGTCATATAGGCCACTGGAGAGGTCCCTGGTGGCAGGGGAGTGGATAAGGGATTGAGCAAGAGAGATGGTTCCACCCATCAGGAGAGAGAGAAACATTGTTCTCCAAGAACCTTCTCGAGGTTCTGTCGTACCCATGTTTGCTGGACCCAGAGCCTGCACCTCGTGAGGGCCTGCTCACCTTGAGGGCAGGAACAGCCAGTCCGGGACCTACACATTCCTACTGACTTCCCAACTGTGGCATGATGAAAATAATGAGCCCCAGGAAACCAGGATGCATTGCCCAAAGGCACAAGGCCAGGAAGAGGCAAGATGAGGCCTTAGACTGGCAATAGCAAGTGCTGGCACTCAACCCCACCGTGCCCACGAGAACACTGTAGGGCTTCAGGTAGATGAGCCAGTCACTAACATTTGCATTTCCCGAGGCCTCTTGGGTGCACCATTTGGGTTCAGCTTTACAGGAGAGATGGCAGGTTCTACAGGGCCAAGACCAGGAAAGAGAAAACCCACCAGGGCGGAGGAAGCAGACCCCCATCCTCTGTCCACTCTGCCTACCTTAAGTTTAAGCAGCCTACAGGCCCACAGCGACCACAGCTTGTGAGAACATTCATGCCCCACCCCCCAACCTGGACTTCTCAGCCTTTGTCCAGGCTAACCCGTCAGGAAGCCTGGAACCCTCTGCCCTGTGCGGGCCCCCAAGCCCACTCTTCTTGCCCCTCCCTACCCTAGAGAGTATTGCAAGGACCTGAATGTCTCAGACAACAACACTGAATTCCTGAAAAACTTCATTGAGCTCATGGAGAAAGTGACTCCAGACTCGAAGCAGTGTGAGTATACGGCAGGGCATCTGGATCTGGGCAGCACCTGGGGTCAGGGCATAGCGAGGGGAGGGAAGGGTCATACCCACAGAAGCCTGGAGACAAGCAGGCAAGGTCTGACCAGGGCATAGAGAAGGCTTTCACCAGAGCCCTGGAAACTAGGGGAAGCGATGATCGGGAACTACAATAAGACATCCTTCCAAGTTATCCTTCTGTTCCAGGCAATAACTTCCTTCTGCATAACTTGATTTTGGACACGGGCATTACACAGCAGTTAGTAGAACGTGTGTGGCGGGACCAAGATCTCAACACGTATGCACCACCACCCTGGCTGTGACTGTGTGTGGCAGGAGGCTGGGGTTGACCCAGAGGCCCTGGCCTTGCACAGTAGAACGCAGGTCTGTGACCCCACCTCCCTGTTGTCCCCAGGTACAGCCTGCTAGCCGTATTTGCTGCCACGGATGGCGGCATCACACGTGTCTTCCCCAACAAGTAAGTGACCAACCCCACTCACCAACAGCCCTCCCTGTCTGGGACCTAACCATTACTACCCAGAAGCCTCTGCACTGCTAAGACCATTGTATACCACAAGCTGCCCCTGGTATCCAGTCATATACCCACTGAGCTCTGCCTGTCATGGGCGCTCTAGGGCAGCCGAAGACTGGACAGAGAACCCTGAACCCTTCAATGCCAGCTTCTACCGCCGCAGCCTGGATAACCACGGTTATGTCTTCAAGCCCCCACACCAGGACTGTGAGTGTCTGTCCATGGTGCCCATCAGCAGGTGGGAGGCCTTAGCTGAGACCAGAGACATGTGAAGAGAAAGGCCATGCCAAACACTGTCTGGGGTGCTGGAGGTTTAGACTGGGTCTAGTCCCGGGTTGGTAAGACCCAGTTTGGAGTGGCCAGTATGGGCAGCCTTCCCTTCTGACTGCTCCACCCATCCATCCCAGCCCTGTTAAGGCCACTGGAGCTGGAAAATGACACGGTGGGTGTCCTCGTCAGCACAGCTGTGGAGCTGAGTCTAGGTCGTCGCACACTGAGGCCAGCAGGTGAATACGAAGACAGAGGTGGGGCAAGAGACAGTAGTCAGGAAACCAACTAGGTAGGTAGCATACAGTCCACTGCTCTCTCCCACAGTGGTGGGTGTCAAACTGGACCTAGAGGCTTGGGCCGAAAAGTTCAAGGTGCTTGCCAGCAACCGCACCCATCAAGACCAACCTCAGAAGGTATTTGGGCAGGGGAAGGGAAGTAAGCCCAGCAGTGTCCTCTCTGGAGTCCCCAAGGACCCCTAACGAGCCTGCCACTTGGAGTGGCTCCGGCACCTGTGGGAAGCCGGGGTACTGCAGATAGGCTGCAGAACCAGCATATGAAGGGTGGCAGAAACGAGGGAAACTGGTTGGCACCTCACAGACCCATTCTCTGCCCAGCAGTGCGGCCCCAGCAGCCACTGTGAGATGGACTGCGAGGTTAACAATGAGGTGAGTGCTGACACTGCTCTGGACCCCAACTTCCCTCATCCCCAGACTTCTTGGTCCCCCGTGACTCCTAGCCTGCCTTTAGATCTTGACACCCCTACCCTGACTTCAGGCTTGACAAACCTAGAGCAGTGGAGCCCCTCATTCAGAGTAGTTTGACTGCCAGCTCCTGAAATAGTCTGGGGCGGGGTCCCTCACCGTATTTATCCCCCTTCCCTGCCTCTTAGGACCTACTCTGTGTCCTCATCGATGACGGAGGATTCCTGATACTGTCAAACCAGAACCATCAGTGGGACCAGGTGAGGGTCCGGAAGAAAGTGAAAGGAAGGGATAGGGCAGAGCCCTCTAGAGGTGCGGCACCGCCAGCCCTGTGACTATTGCTCCCTTCCTGCATCACCAGGTTGGCAGATTCTTCAGTGAGGTGGATGCCAACCTGATGCTGGCCCTCTATAATAACTCATTCTACACCCGAAAGGAATCCTATGACTACCAGGCAGCCTGTGCCCCACAGCCTCCTGGAAACCTGGGTGCTGCACCCCGGGGTGTCTTTGTGGTGAGCTCCCAGAAATGCCCGGATATGGGGGGGAGCGGTTGGAAGACCCGCCTACAGCGAACCCTCCCCGACCTCTAACATTTGAGAGAGCTGGGGTTGACCTAGAGCCAGAGGCAACAGTAGAAGCCCGTGCTCCTCTCTCCACTACAGCCAACCATTGCAGACTTCCTTAACTTGGCCTGGTGGACCTCTGCTGCCGCCTGGTGAGTCCTGGAGGAGTGCTTGGTAAAGGTGGCCAGGAAGGCACTGGCCTCTCCTAACCGCCAGTACTCGGTGCCCCGTGCTCTACAGGTCCTTATTCCAGCAGCTACTCTACGGCCTCATCTACCACAGCTGGTTCCAGGCAGGTAGGTAGGACTTGGGAGGCTCAGCCTCAAATCTACACTACACCACGGTGGGAACTGCCGTCCGCCCGCTTCCCTGGGAGGGCGGGGCTTAGGGCTGAGCCAAGCTGAGGCTGACACCGTGTCAGGGTCTGTGGGCGGGGCTGAGGCGTCTGGGCCCCGCAGACCCGGCAGAAGCCGAGGGCAGCCCCGAGACGCGCGAGAGCAGCTGCGTCATGAAGCAGACCCAGTACTACTTCGGCTCGGTGAACGCGTCCTACAACGCCATCATCGACTGCGGAAACTGCAGCAGGTACTTGCAGGGCGAGAGGCGGGGCGTGTTGGAGGGGTGTGGTCTGTTTGGTGGGCGTGGTCACGGCCGTGGCTCCGGGGAGGAGCGAGCCTCCAAGATGCCGCCCTCCGATCGTCCCTCCAGGCTGTTCCACGCGCAGAGACTGACCAACACCAACCTTCTGTTCGTGGTGGCTGAAAAGCCGCTGTGCAGCCAGTGCGAGGCGGGACGGCTGCTGCAGAAGGAGACACACTGTATCCTGCCCCCGCCCTCCCCGCGCCCCTCCTGCCCTATGCTCCCCTCCGTGTCGCTGCTGCCGCCTCCTCCTTGACTCCCCACCCATGCCCAGCGGACGGCCCGGAGCAATGTGAACTGGTGCAGAGACCGCGGTACCGAAGAGGCCCTCACATCTGTTTTGACTACAACGCCACGGTGAGTCGGGGGAGCGGCGCTGCTGACGTCCACGATCATGCGCCGGCTGGGAGACGACCGCCTGCTTGTTTCCTTCCCCGCTGCAGGAAGATACCTCAGACTGTGGCCGCGGAGCCTCCTTCCCGCCGTCGTTGGGCGTCCTGGTTTCCCTGCAGCTGCTGCTCCTCCTGGGCCTGCCGCCTCGGCCACAGCCTCAAGTTCACTCCTTTGCTGCCTCTCGCCGCCTCTGAGCGACCCCCCCCCCCCAAACACACACACACACACCATACCCCCGCCTTGGCCTCCTACTCTTTCGCTCACCCTCCCATCCCCCTCATCCCACAGTCCACAACCTAGCGCCTGGGCCACTCCCTCACTGAAGGACCTGGGCCCCTCCCCCCAGAGCCTGTGCCTTGGGGCAGGGGAGCCCCAAAGTAGGGTGTCATGGTGTTTGGCACTCAAGATTTATCTTACCCCTGAACTGTCCAAGTGCCCACAGACCCCGGACTCATCTCCGTGGGCTGGGACAAGGAGGCCACAAGTACTGGTGCCAAACCAGGCCTCCACCTACCAACCTGCCTGGAGATTTCCTCTGTGTAGGCAACCCTGCCTCTGCTGGGTGCCCCTAACCTGACCCTTTGGCCCCACCCACGCTCAAACTCACCTTCTCTGGGGAAAATAATGGAAGAAGAGAGGTAGTAGTGGTGAGAGAGATTCTGGGGCAGCCCCCCATAGGCTCCTGCTCCTTTCAGACCTACAACCACAAACCCACGCCCCAGCCTTGCAGATGTCAGGACAGTCTCACAATGACATCAGTTCGAACACATCCCATACACACCTGGACCCCTGAAAGCAGAAACTGGACTCTCATTAGACATACCCCAGAGGGAGCACACCAACGGACATGGGCACACACCATGGGGGGCCCACAAAGCCTTACACAGGGCAGAAGTCAGGGAGAGGGTAGGCCTGTGCCTTCCATCTCTGTTCCCCTCTGCCTACACTCGGAGATGATGCAGCCCGGCTGGCCCTCCCATCTCTAAAGCTGAATGTCAGACAGTGCCAAATGCTGGGGAAGGCCTCTTTGTTTCACCCCTAGCCACCAGTGTTCCCTCCAGTCCCCCTCTCCCTGCGAGGTGCTCATTATGTCCATTCCTCACTAGTGTCAGGACCCTAGTAGGACCACGCATCACTGCCTGAACCCCTTTAGCAGAAGAACCCCTCCAGACATTGCTCTTTGCCTTAGCAGGGGTGACTTGGTCTCTCCTGGCTGGGCCATCCCACCCCCAATCTGGTTCTTACACACCCAGGCCCAACTCTTTGTTCCTTGTAAACACGCGCACATGCGCGCGCGCACACACACACACACAAACACTCCCTCCCTTAGGAGGCCAAATTGCCCCTCCCTTGCTGAACACACACTTCTACCGTGCACACACGTAAACGCTGTGCGTGCGCACACACACACACACACACACACACGAGTCTGGGCCTGGACATATCTCTTCACACGATTCATCCATGTCATCTCCCAAAGGCATCCCAACCTGGGGCCAATAGGGGACTGAGGGCCGGGGGGTGTAGCCATGAGGCTCAGCTGGACCGGGAGGAGGGGGGAGGGTGATGCATTAATTAATGGCTTCGTTAATTAATGTCACGTTGCTTGTTGCTTTCTCAGTGTGCGTATGGTCCATGCCCAATGCTGGTGACAGGGTGGGCATCCATGATGTGTGCCCAGCCTGGATGTCCGCTGTGTCCAGTGGGGGGGGGCGTGTGTAACTGTAGTGTAGTCAGGTGCTCAATGGAGAATATAAACAAAAAAGAAACAAACGTATACAGAAAAATAAGTATATATTTTAAGTTTAAAAACAACAGTCCCCATCAAGTAGTTGTCCGTCCCCCGGCTGGGTCCATTCCTCTCATCCGCCCGCCTGACCTGGCTGTCCTCTCACCTTGAGCTGAGGGACTTGGGGGGCCATTTCCTTTACTTTGCCCTTTTTTTGTTGTTATTCTATTTTGTACAGACAAGTTGGAAAAACAACAGCGACAAAAAAAAGTCGAGAAACTTTGTAAAATATCGTGTGTGTGATTCCTTGTAAAATATTTTCAAATGGTTTATTACAGAAGATCAGTTATTAAATAATGTTCATATTTTCACTTCAAACAGTTTTCATCCACTGTGTGGGCCTTGGGTTGAGGACTGGGTAGCTATGGTGACAGGTGGCTGTGACCGCTGAATATCACCCTGCTCTGTCAGAGGAGAAGCCAAGGCCGTCCTGTTTCTCAGAGGTCAAAGAACATTATAGGACTCCTACCCTTGACGTGGCTTTGTTTCATATCACAAACCTCCAGGAGAGAAACTGTCAAGAGGTGGGAAAACAGCACCGCCCAGAGTTTCAAGGCCAGGCCAGGACTCTGAGAGAGAGAGAGAGAGAGAGAGAGAGAGAGAGAGAGAGAGAGCAATGAAATAATCAATAGGCTGAGGTCTGTCCTCTGTCTGCCCATGTGATCAGACCAGGACCTAACAATAGACCCTCTGCTTGGAGAGACACAACACAAGTTAGTTCCCACACCCATCCATTGCCCTGAGGATGGCCAGGATCTGGTCCAGCCAGGAGTAAATGGGGACTCCATCATGAGTCAGGGAGGTCAGAGGCCAGGACAGTTCCTGCACACACACAGTCCCTTCTGTGTGAGAGAGACAGAGAAGAGAGACAGACAGACAGACGGGATCTCCCTGCGTAGGCCCAGCTGGCCTGGTTGCCAGGAGACTGAGGGGGCTCAGGCCACCTGATGTCACAGGACTCCTTCCAGGTTGGTGTCCACCTCATTGATAAACATCTTGCCGGATCATCTGTCCTCTGGGCTTGTGTGGTTACCATTCCACACTGGTTCACCAGGTATATTTTAATACTAACTTTAGCTTTATGACCTCTGCATTAGGTTTGGTTTGGTTTGGTTTTTTAGCATGAGCATAGCGGTAAGGCAGCAGACAGCCTGAGGTGTTCGCGCCTTGCCCTGTGTTCTTCCAGTGCCAAGCTTGGCAACAAGTCCTGTACCCACTGAGTCCTTTCACCAGCCTGGCCCCTGCCTTCTTTTCAAGGAGAGAGAACTAAAGCCACCAACATAGACGCTCCTAAATTGGATGCTCACTCTTTTCCTCAAGGTAGCAGGGTCAGGGACTCATTCACTCTGGGCCCCTGCAGGTTAGCCAGCTAAGTTCTCACCGTGATCTCAAGCACAGTTACCAGTATATCATCCCCACAGCACAGACGAGCAAGGGAGGGAAGGGTTGAAGAAAACCAGTGAAAGCTGGGTGTGGTAGTACTAGCCTGTAACCCACACTGGGGAAGTGGAGACAGGAGACTCAGGAGTTCAAGGCTATCCTTAGCTACACAGGGAGTTCCAAGCCTGAACTGGGCTCCATGAGACCCCTCAAAATTGAAAAAAAAAAAATCAGCTAAGGTCTCAAGTGGCAGGATTTGGAAGATGGCTCAGTTGGCAACGTGCCTGCTGTGCAGACACGAGGACCTGAATTCAGGGTCTCAGCTCCCATGAACAAAGCCCGGTGCAGTGGTCTTTAACCCCAGCACTGGGGTCAGTGGCCTGAAGAGTTGGGACAGGAGGCAGAACCCCAGAGTTCATGGAACCAGCTAGCCTAACTGGACTGATGAGTTCCCGGTTCAGTGAGAGGCCCTGTCTCAAAACATAAATATAAATATAATTCCAGCACTGGAGAGGCCAAGGCAGGTGGACTTGTTTGTTTGAGACCAGACTGGTTGGTCTATGTAGTGAGTTCCAGGCCACCCATGGCTGCACAATGAGATCCTGTCTCAAAAATAAATAAGGAAGTGATAGATGCCATACAACATGCTCACACAAGAGCATGAGGGCCTGTTGTGTCCGTACACACACACACACACACACACACACACACACACACACACACACGGACTAGCTGGAGGAAACACTTGGATTCAAAACATTTTTTAGATTTATTTATTATGCATACAGTGTCTGTCTGCACGTCTGCCTGCAGCCAGAGGGCGCCAGATCTCATCTCACTATGGGTGGTTGGTTGTGAGCCACCATGTGGTTGCCTGGAATAGAATTCAGGACCTCTGGAAGAGCAACCAGTGCTCTTGATCACTGAGCCATCTCTCAACATGTTAAAGGACATTCTAGGCCTCAGCCAAGATGCAGTTTCTCTCACTGCTGCAGGAGCTGTCCTCATACCTCAAAACAGCTCCCATGCTTTGAAACAGCACACATATTTTGAGGCAGGGGCAGGGTTGTCAGATCAAGTTCAGTCAGTTCTGATTTGCAGATAATTTTTTGATGTTTCTTTCTTTTGTTTTGTTTTGTTGTTGTTGTTTTGTTTGTTGGTTGGTTTTTTCACTTTTTTGTTGTTGTTGTTGTTTTCGAGACAAGGTTTCCCTGTAGCTTTGGAGCCTATCCTGGAACTAGCTATTATAGACCAGGCTGGCATCAAATTCACCTGCCTCTGCCTCCCAAGTGCTGGGATTCAAGGTGTGCACCACCACCGCCCGGCTTTTGTTGTTTCTTTTGAGACAGAGTCTCGTGTTGCCCAGTGTGACTTCAAACTACAGGTGGTCCTGATCATCCTGCTTCAGCCACCCAACTGCTGGGAATACTGGCATGCACCATCACCACACAGACTCTGATAAATTTTTAATAAATTAATAATAAATAGGTCTTTTGACCAGGCAGTGGTGGTACGCACCTTTAATCCCAGCACTAGGGAGATAGAGGTAAATGGATCTCTGAGTTCTGAGTTTGGGACCAGCCTGATCTAGAGAATTGAGTTTCAAGACAGTCAGGGAGGGGCTAGAGAGATGGCTCAGAGGTTAAGAGCATTGCCTGCTCTTCCAAAGGTCCTGAGTTCAATTCCCAGCAACCACATGGTGGCTCACAACCATCTGTAATGGGATCTGGTGCCCTCTTCTGACCTGCAGTCATACACACAGATAGAATATTGTATACATAATAAATAAATAAATATTTAAAAAAATAAATCCTACTAGTATTTTAAAAAAAATTAAAAAAAAAAGACAGTCGGGGATACACAGAGAAACCCTGTCTTGAAAAAACAAAAACAAAAAGGGGGATTGGCCCTTGATTCCTGTCACTCATGTGGGTCACTGTCAATATTGATGGTGTATCATCAGTGTAGAATCTGTGCTATCTCTTTGCTCTGAGTAAACTTATTCTTTCTTTGAGGGAAAGTGGGGTTTTGGTTGTTTTGGTTGAGAAGGTGTATGGTTGTGCATGCGTGTGTGTGTGTGTGTGTGTGTGTGTGTGTGTGTGTGTGTTTAATATTGCATGGGACATCGTCCCTACCCTGAAAATTATTTATTCAAATCTGACTGAATTGTTGACTCTGAATTTTGTTTTGGTTGGTTTTCCTTCTTATTGTTGTTTTGGTTTGTTTTTTTTTTCCTTTGTTTTATTTTTTCAAGACGGGATTTCTCTGTGTAGCCTTGGCTGTCCTGGAACTAACTCTGTAAACCAGACTGGCCTCGAACTCACAGAGATCTGCCTGCCTCTACCTCCCAAGCACCAGGATTAAAGGTGTGTGCCACCACCACCCAGGAACTCTATATTTTAATTTGCTAAACCAAATTTAACAAACACTGGTATGTGGCATACAGTAGGAACCCTGACCCCAGACAAAAATAAAGGATGGAAGGCAGCTTTAGACACACAGGCAGTTGTGCTGAGATGAAAGAGTTCTGCATTTTATAATAAAGTCCCTTGTCATAGAATTCATCACATTTTTTAAACTATGCACTTTTTAAAAAGCAACAATATGTAACAAAAAATCTCAGGACTGGAGAGATGGCTTGGTGGTTAGAAGTGCTTGCTGTTCTTACAAAGGACCTGAGTTCCACCCCCAGCACCCACATCTGCTAGCTCACAACCTAACTCCAGCTCCAGGGATCCATCATCCTCTTGTGGCCTCTGTGAATTGCATACATAACGGCAGATACACACATACATGTAAACAAAAATATTTTAAAATAAACCTCAAGAAACACCCTGCTGGCAGCCACCATAGTATGAAGTTGAGCCCAGACCAACCTGGATGGTCCTGTAGGAAGAGCTCTCTCAGCTGCAGTGGAATCAAGTCTCTGGTGGGAAAAAAGTCACTGAAGTAGCAAAGCCTCACCCCTTGCTACCCCTCAGGTGAAAAACCTCAGTTCATGAGGCACATCCAGTTCACTGGAATAAGATCAATGTGAACACCCCAAATGAACTGACACTTACATTTCTGCCTTCTTTGATCCTTATGGTAAGAAGAATGCTGGGAGGTGGTAGCACACACCTTTAATCCCAGCACTCGGGAGGCAGAGGCAGAGGCAGGCGGATCTCTGTGAGTTCGAGACCAGCCTGGACTGCAAAGTGAGTTCCAGGACAGTCAGGGCTAGACAGAGAGGATTTGTCTTGAAAACAAAGGGGGGAGGGGAGCCTGAAATCCTCACTATTTTTGAGGTCTGTGAAATTGCACTTCAAAAATGTTCAGTCAATATCACATTGACTCCAAATAATGGACCAAGAGTTCTAGCCCGCCTTAGGCTCTTATTTGCCAGACCACAGAGTTTCTCATTAGTTCACACACATTGGTACCACACACCAGAACCTTTCAACATCTTTATGTACCCGCTTACAAAAACACTGCTGCACCTGTACAAATGACAAATGGTCACTCCCCTCCAGAGAACAAGTGTGTGGTCCAAGGCTATGCTGCCTCCTGATCCCGCGCACTCAACACCTCGTTTGCCTTCCCAGATCCGCGATCCTATCCTGACCCCGACTTCCCTAACTGGTTCCCCGCCCTCCTCTAGAACTGGAGGAGTCAGCCCTGAGAACTACAACTCCCAAGCACCCCCGCCTAACCCGCTACGGGACCGGTCGGACGCACGGCTTCTGGGACTTGTGGTTCTATGCGGAAACCGGTCGGCTCTGTATACGGACTCCGTATCCCAGCATGCCGAGGAGCCGGAAGGCAAGGGCTCAGAGGGCACAGGGCCGAGGCGGCCGCCGGGGGCGCGCAGGCGCGGCGTCCCTGTTTGTCGGTCCCGGAGAAGGGAGGAGGTACCGTCAAGTCAAAACCCTATCCCAGAAGGATCTAAACGGTCTTGA